CCTCTAACTAGTTTTCAACAGATATTGTTGAATTGGCTTAGATTTGTATGCTGATTGCAAATAAATAAAGCTTTTTGGTCTCCGAATGACAAATAACAACATATCCTTCCAATATAAAAATCGTTCTTCAAAAATTTTTTCCTTTGGAAAAGATTCGCTGATGTGTAATTTCCATTTTATATTTATTTTGTGACATTGCTGAATGTGAACACTCATTGCTTGAGGCGTTTAAAACAATAAATAATTTACAAGTTAATTGCTTTACAATTACTGTCTTAGATAGACTACCCACCCACCTTCCTACCTACCGACCTACCTACCAAGTTCTCAATGGCAGCAATAATCGAATTTCTTACTCATCAAAGGTTACGGTTATTCATGAGCCCACCACATGAGGAAAGGAGGGAGAGGGCGAGGGGAGAAGAAACGCTCCCCCTGCATGAGACACGCCTTTGAAATCGAAGAATGGAATTGTTTATCGCATTGACTGCATGACTACACGGCGACGACGACGACGACGATATGTGGAGAAACAAAGTTTTGCAGTTTTATTTTTTTTGTTGTTTTGCTTTAAAAGAATCCATCCATTCATACAAAAAATATAAGTAGAGGCATTAGCTAGCTGTGGCAAACAGCCACAGCGAGCAGGCAGCAACGTACAATGTTTCAATGCAACTGAGAAATGTTGTTGCTTGATGTTGTTGTTGTTGTTGTTACTCTTGGTCGAAATAGTGTTGGTTATTACTTTTTGAATGTCGTTGCTTTTTGTCGTCTATGTCACGGCATGGAATGATGTTACCGGAACTTAATACACCTTTTCGAATGATAAGTGTAGATTGGGTGCCGGTGTTGTGGGTTATGCAGGGAGCCACTCAACACTCCACACTGCTGGTTGATAATACTTTTTTCAATTTGAGTGCTTGTTATTATTTTTGTTGCTTTTTCTTTTTGGAAGAAAGCAAAAAACGGACGGATGTTTGAAATACCATAAAAGGCATATCGTTATTATGAATGGAAATGATTTTCGTTTGGTTGTATAATATGCGTAATCATATGATCAGTTATTGTCGGGCAATTGAAATTTGAGGGGGGTGTTTTGTATCTATAAAAAGGTCTATTGTGGGCAGGTTGTTGTTAGAGACAATTTGGGAAGTTCGTTTTTAACAATGAAATGGCTTAGGTAGTAAAGTATGTAAAACGAAGGGCCCCTGCAATATGATGATACTCTAGGTAATCAATTTTTAACATTCCTCGTCAAATTTAGTAAAAAAAAAGAAAACGAAGAAAAACTTAAAACTCCGCTCAGAAAATGTCCTTTATCCAACAAAAGGCCATCACCAAGTCTATATATCTCTACATATATAGCCATTCTATTAAGTGTCCCAGAAAATTCTCTTGGTTATACATCAATCGTTGTTCTAGAAATGGACTACTAGCCATTGCTGGAGTCCAATGTCGACATCAGAAGTCCTGAAGGATCTGTGGTTGATCTTCCATCAATGAACTGTCTAGTCAGTAATCGGACTAACAGAATCCTGGTCTCTTCATGGAGATTGTAATTCGGCAAATCTAATCCTTCTTCGTAAAAATTCTTTAACAACTAAAAGTCTCAATTTTGGGTCAACAACTGTGGAAAACCATAATTCGACTCCAAAAGATATGACAGGTTAAACCAAACTGATCTTGTTACAGATTTGAGAACGATCCGTCGTCTACTGCATGCTAAAAAATTAACGCATATTAAAAAATCCGCCACAAAGTCGATGACAACAGGGGCAGCAGAGGTGCGAATTGATGGATTGTTAATTGCGGATACCAACTACCCAAAGTCCTTGGAGTCACATCCGATAGCCAGTACAAATCGTTCGCCCATAAAATCAAAAATGGGCATATTTTTCTCAAGGCTCTTGTCGGCAGCCCTTGGAGAGATGAAAACGATATAGACCGATCTGTTCTAAGCTATAAGGCACTGGTGTGATCTGCCAAAATAGTTGTTACACAAGGGAAAATAATGACCTGACAAGTCAGAATATTGTTCTGGCAACCGCCGAAAAAATGCTTTTAAATGACCCCAATATGGGGTGTCGAAGCCATCCAAATCCAAAGCTTGGCCAACATTCTCCTGGCGCTTTAGGAATGACATTTATAATCTAGAAATAGAGCAAAAATAGAGATCCAAAGAGAGTCCCTCGACTGGTATCCCTTCAAAGCAAGACTGATTTGTGTCCATACTGGTGTGATTAGGAAAGCAACTCGAGAATGTAGAATGAATACCTTCCCGGAGATCGGTTGGAGCATAAGAACGAAAACTGTCTCGACAAACTGGAGCATTTTAAGATCAACTGAAAGCAATATAGCACAGCTGCATTAATTCGTATTTGGCTTCTGTTAATAGACACCCTGCACCTCTTTAACTGTGCCGCAAAAACTACTCAACGAACGCCAGACGTTTTTTACAATTTAAAGCAGAAGCAAATTATTTGCAAAGATCACCTCAGTACAAGCTGCTACAGCAACAACTGAATAGTTCTGAATTGGGATGTTGTAGCCGCATTTTTATACCCTCAACCATAATATGGAGGGTATATTAAGTTTGTCATTCCGTTTGTAACACCTCGAAATATACATTTCTTGATCAGCATAAAATTCTATGTCGATTTAGTGATGTCCGTCCATCTGTCCTTCTGTGGAAATCACAGTAGCTTCCGAACGAAATGAAGTAGGTTTATAAAATTTTACTCAAAAGTATATTATGTCTGCAGGAGTTATGGTCTTGAAAATGAGTCACGTAAGACCACGTTTTGGTATAGTCCCCATATAATGGTACCTCCCAATGTTCGGTATTTTGATGGTTTTTTTTTTTCACCGGAATTCTTTCAAATTTGGTATTTGAAGTTCGTAATGGATACTACAGCCCAAAGACAGAAAATTGTCTGTGCGGGTGCACGTCTTCGTATAGCCCCCATATAAAGGTACTTCCCGATATTCGGTACTTTGATGATTTTAGCTTCATTATTCACAGAATTTTTTTTTCAAGTTTCGCAATTGAGTATTGTAATGACTTATGACAAAAGTTGCCCATGCCTATATCGGCTACATTCGGAATTTTTAAAATTTTAACCGAATTTTTATTTATTTGAAAATTGTCAAATTCGTTCAAATGGTGGAGGGTATTCAAAGCTGGCCCGGCCGAACTTACAGCTTCTTTACTTGTTTGGATTGGTGGTCCTGAGCGCAAACATGTCCAGCATGTTGACCAGCAACAAGCAATTGAGCTTTGAAATTCGGCTCATTTCTCTTGGCTTAAGAGATCACTTTGTAGCTTTTTAAACTTGCACAGGAGCTACGATAAAATTCTGATGCATAAGACTGAATCCCACACGTCAGTAGATTCACATGCTTTTATTGACGAACTTGATTGGGTGCTAATGTCAGAATCATTTATCCATCACATAGAGGAAAAAGTATCCCAGACATCTCAGATAGGAGTTAGGACCAAATATATAAGATAGATCTATGTCAAAGAGCCTAATTACATAAGTTTTAATATGATTAATGCAGTATAAATACCGTTCTTGAAGTCCACAGAACTACACAACGGTGGGTTCTAATTTGTATTGGGCATTAAATGATAATTAGGAAATTTAATTTCTTCAATTTCCCATACCCTACTCACTCCTGTAGATTTATGATGGTAACTGGAGTAGAAGAACAAATAGGGATACAATTTGTGATTGAATTAAAAGTTACCTTTTATCACACTCTTAGAACATCCTTGTCTTAAAAATTCATCCAATTTCAATATTTCAATTTGTTGCATTTTTTTTTTGAAGGTAAGCCTAGAATACTACATTTCTGAAATTTAGGGACATATTACGCTGTTTGTTTTTGTTGTTTAAATTTCATTTCGGACACTCAGGTTGAAAGAAATTTCTTATTGGTAGTTTATACTTTGTAGAATCTATGATAAGTTTCGACTATGAGTTCTTCCATGGCAAAACAATTAACTATACCATGGAGTTCTTCTAAAAAGGAATATAAATAAAAGTATTATTATACATGACCATATTGATATTGTCTTCTAGTAAAAAAATTACCTTTATATCTTAAAATCTATTAAAACCCAAGGTCCTAAGTTTGGGAAATTATTTTAGCTATAAATATCCAATACATAGGGTAAACATGACAAAGCAAATTTGTCATTTTAGATGTTGAAATTGATTTCAGCAAAAAATTGTGCCATTTTTCTGAAGGGTGGATTTTAAAGTTGTTTTACAATTTTCCACATGTTGTATTTAATTTAATGTTACGCCCAGCATATTTTGACCCTTTCATAATTGGCATAAGCATGCAAATATTCCACTCCACTTAGCCATTTTATTAACACGAAACACACAAAAGTTTGCAAGGATACTTTGGTAAACTTTTTGCCCGAAAGGGAAAAAATGGCCTGACTTTGTCTGATCAACTTTGCTCTTGTTTGCCAAAGAAATGCTTGACATTAATTCTCCACCACAGCTCTTTTACTCTCACACTCATGTATTTATTAAAGTTTTCCATTATTAAAAATTTAATCTTAAAAGCCAACCAATACGATTTACTTTTCACAAATTAAAGTTGAAAAACTAGCCATCATACATTTCCACATTTCCATTCCAGCCAGCAAGCAAACACAATGACAGCTGTTCAGCAGAAAGAACAAACCACAATGCAAGAGAAGAGAGCAACCAAGAGATTGAGATTTGACAAGAAAAAAAAAATCCAATAAGAATTTGAAGAAAGAAATATAACGCGAAAAGCCCATTGTTCGTTGTTGGTGTTGTTGCAACCCATGCCTCACATTTCTTGAAATCTTTAATTTGTTTTTAAATAAATATATTCATAGAAAAATCATAAACAAATGCAATTTCCTGCAACAAAATTGTTCATTGCGGCGTCTTTGTACGGCTGTTTTTTATACTGTTGTTCGTTCTTTCGTATTTTGTGCATTTTCTTTTTACCTTTCAGCTGTTGGTTGGTTGGTTGATTCTTTCACCTGCCTGCTGCCTGCCGTTGACAATCGTATCGTATGACTGCAAAAACACACGCACTCACGTTTTGGATTGATTTTTTTTCTTCCGACTCTTGTCAATTATTTCCACAATATCTTGTTGGTACTTTTTCAGTTGTAATTTAATAGTTAATCATATTTCACTATTCTTTTTTTTTCTATCTTGGAAAAAAATTTTCCTTGCTCACACACGCACACCAGTGAACAAACACTCACACTTTATACAGCAGCAGCACTCCACACAGCCCGAACGAAACGGCACACACAAGAGGAAAGGCGTACTTTGACAAATGGCCAACAATTTTCTTTCTCTTCAACAATACTATTTTCTGCTTAATTTTTTATGAATTTTACAACAATATTATGACGTACGCCTCTCTAGCTTTCTTTTGAAGTTACACACAATATCACTTGACACTTTTTAGCATTATTATTTAATTTTTATTAAGCAGAATTATCATTCACCGATGTTTTCTGTACGAAATGTACAAATTTAAAAGCGTTCCATGACGAATGAGACATTGAAGAATGACTGATGAAAATGAATAACAAAATGAAAGGCGATTTTGAAATAACGAAGTTGACGCGTTTCTCTAGTTAACGGCGTTCATTTTGATATGGAGAACGATTGATAGCGAATTAGTGTTGTCGATAATGGAAATCTAAAAGATAATCGATTATTCATTGAAATATTAAACATATTAAAGGAAAAACATTAGTTGTGTTCCAGAACCTGCAAATTAGTACTAATTAGCACTAATTCTGCTACAACGCGTTCCCGTACTCCAAAAATTAGCAAAACTTGCAGCTCTCTCGAGAAAAAAATGGCGCTGAGTGGTGCACATTTCTGCTTGTTTTAGCTACATGAATTTGGCCGAGCAGAAATGCGCATATTGTAAATTTGACATATAATTGGCAGGGCTAACAAGGTTGAAAAATGTATTGATACATTTCAATAAAGAAAATGATCTTTTCAGTAAGGTTTCACCAGTCCGATTTAGGCTGTTTACTTTTGGAATTTTGAATTTTGACATTTTATCGCATTTCTGCTAATTTTCCGTTCCCTTACTTTTTGAGCAAACCTAAATGAGAATGACATTTCGAACTGTTCTCTCTTCTGCTAGTTTTACTACTAAAAAAGTACTGGAACACAACTATTATAGATTTTTATAAAAATCAATAAAACTGAAGTAAAATAATATAAAAAATGAATAGTAATCATATACCACGCGACTTAAAGATTAGAGATTTATAAATACAACCAGTCGACATTGTCAGTCTTTTGGGAAAGTGAGTTCCATTTGACTTCGGAAGTGAAATTAGAAACTGCCATTCAGTTGACTTTGAAAGTGATATTTTTTCCAGAATCGCAAACAACTTGGGACACATGGTCTGTTCCAGAACCTGCAAGAAGTTCTTTGTCCCAAACTGCAAGAATGTAAAACTTTTTTACTACGATAACAAATTTTCCTCTATGATATAGAAAAAATGTCATACTAGTACATTCAGGTTTGGAACAGAACAACAATGAATTTTCTTCTAATTATTATTCCTTTTGAATAGTATTGAAAATGGAGCGAAGAAAAATAATAATAATACCGAATATTGTGTGGCACAATTATATGGGGGTTCCATGAAAATACGGATCTGTATGTACAATATTTGCCAGAGAAAATACTAAAATTTTACATAATTTCGTATAAAAGGGGACTAAAATCGGCAAAATTGGATACACAAAGATGGGGAATCTATTACGAACTTTAAATATCAAATGTGACAATATTCCTCTGAAAAGTACGACACAAATCATCAAAATGACGAATATTTGGATGTACAGTTATATGGGGTCTATACTAAAACTTGGACCTATATATACTGATCTTTGCAAACATGTTTCCTTGATTATAGGAACACAAACTGCCAATTTTCAGTGGAATCGGTTTAAAATTGTAACTGAAATACCTAAAATACCTTAAATCTGCCGGAAACACCAAAACGTAGACTTAATGTAATGTAATATCTAAGATGCGTATTTTGAAATGTTCAAAGTGGAATTACGAACATTTATATAATTTTTCATTGCCCTGGGTTACCTTAATAATATTACTGACAGTTAAAACAGCGTATAGTAGTGGCACATTTTATAATAAAATATAATACATTTAAGGTTAATATGGCCTTGGGATAAAGATATGTTTTATTAAAATTTATTGAATTCTCTATTCCATTAAAATTGTGTCAAGCGACTTGTTTTGATAAAATATGAACAATGTAAACATAGTCCTTATCGATTTACCACCGTTGAACGATAACATGTCTGTTAAGTTTTGTTATCGACAAAGATAACGGCGTCAATAGTTTACACCTTGCCTTTGTTCAACTTGTGGTAGAAATACAACTCTGTGTGTTGTGTATCAATCACAATAAGTCAGCGTCAGTTAGAATTTTTGGTGGGATATTGTAAAAAATATAATTTACTGTTTTGCAATGAAATAACTGCTATGAAAATAATAAATACGTGTAATTAAGTTTAATAGACATGTGAAAAGTCAAAAGTTGATCTGTGAAGTAAATTAAATAACGCGAATCATGCAGAAAAATATGTGGAGAGAAATGGCTGTTGGCTTGATGGATTTTTCTGCCACTGAGCTATTGTGAATGATGACTTTTCAAGAAGCGTTATTTTTTCTGCTTTTGAAATGGTCAATAATGCCATGGACAAGTAATACAATGAAGAATTCTGATAATATTCGAAGAGAAATGAGTATATGAAGAAATCTAGTAAGTTATAAGTAGAAAAACAATAAGATATTCTATAGATAAAATAATAGATTTTTTTGTAGATAGAAGATGAGCAGTAAGGTGCGACGACAAACCGTAATTGTGAGCATTCAAAAAAGGTAATTAAGCAGTTAAATAAGGATTTTTTACAAATATTTTTCAAGGATTTGTACAAATGAAAGATTTGTTACAGAATATTTTTCCATAACTAGAATCGTGACAAGTCCTTGATTTTTCAAATGCAATCAACATACTAATTAGAACTCACGTTCTTATAAGTTGAACTAAGATTCTTTATGGGAGAACTAAGATCCCAATGGGAAACGGGGGAAAATTACTGCACAGAAAGAAAGGCTAATCCGATTTTCCTCCAACTTGGAAAATCCTAATATTTGCATCAGTGCTAGGTTAGGAATGGACAATATCGGTCCATTCCATCAAGTGTCTCCCCCACAAAGGGTCAAAATTTTGAATAAATTTAACTTTCCGATTGTCTTAACTAATTTATATTGTCTTCAAATTACCCACGTCACAATATTTTTATTAACCCAAGGTGTGGTGTGAAGTTGGGTTTTAATGATCTACTGTTTCTGGTACTTCCTTCACAAAGGGTCAAAATTTTGAATACCATGAAGCTCATAAAATGCGAAATTAACAACCGATTCCATTTAGACTTGGTATCATCTCAATATTTCCATCAAGACGAGGCCTGTTATAAAAATGCTAGAGATCGGACCATTTCTTCTGGTACCATCCACACATAGGCTTCCAGATTTTGAAAAACAAAACACTCAAATAAAAAGAAAAAAGCATCCAACTCTCTTCAACTTTCACACATCCAAATGTTTTTGCTAACGTAAGAGCTGTGAAGATGATATATATCTGCGAACCCCTTCTGGTACCTCACCCGCAAATGGTTGCAATTTCCAATACTTATATCTGCCATAATTTGTGAAATAAGTCAGCGATTCTTTACAACTTTAGCTATATCTAAATATTTCTCTCAACCAGAAACCTTGAGATGAATATGAAATTTATGATTCCGCATTGGATACAAATGTTCGATTTTTTGTAATTTTGCCCATACCAATATTGTAATCTGTATTAGATGAAATATGAAAATGTAATACTTGGGTCGACTATATCGGTTACCTCACGCATATTTGAATAGTTCTAAAAAATTATCACTTTATATGAGATATATAAAGTGAAGGAAGATGTCGATATAGTCCAAACCTGGCACATCGCAATAAATATATCACATTTATTTAGGTCCGACACGAAATGGACAATATTGGCCCATTCCTTCCGAACCTACTCCATAGAGGGTCAACAATTTGAATTATCATAACACAAGGGTATACATTCGTGGGCAAAACCGACTGATACATTTTAATTTGTTATTTATTTTTTTCCTGAAAATTGTATTTTTTTTTCAAATTTTCCAAAAATATGTAGTTATTTGTTTAGTAATAATTAAATTCTTTGATTTTTTTCACAAAAAAACCCTAATAGTCCCAAGACTTAAAACACAAACATTGCCTGCGTTAAATACAAAAGACTTAAGACACGAACATGTATCCAGCAATGAACTCTCATTAGGAGTTTGCTCTGAGAGAGGGAGAGATGTGAAAGAGAAGAAAGGTAAACACAATTCACTCACACACAGAGGGCGAAGCCGATGTGAAATTCTCGGCGGCGGCGGCTAAGCATAAAAAAGTCGGCGGCGGCTAAAAGTCGACTGCAGCCGAAAGAAAATCGGCGGCGGCGGCTAAAGCAATATACGGCCGGCGGCGGCTAAAAGTCGGCTACAGACGACGACTTTAACGTGAACAAATAATTTCGGTTGTTTTAATAACTGTCAATTCATTTAATTTAAAATAAAAATGAAAATATAAGTTTATATGCACATTTGTTGCTCATTAAAAATTAATAAAAATACTTTAATTTGATAAAAATGGTTCGACGACTGCCTTGTTATCGTGAACAAACAATTGTTTCTTTACTGTTGCCGGATGCAGGCTGCTTCTCTTTGCATTTACACAATTCCCGGCATATGAAAATGCTTGCTCTGAAGATGCTGATGTGGCTGGAATTCCAAAGCACATATTTGCTACAGTAGCAACATTTGGAAAGATCTATAAAAAGTAAATGGTCAAAACGTAACCTGCTTAAAACAAGTTTAAGATGTGAATCTTTAACGTACTTGTTTGTTCTGTCGCCACCAATCTAGAGGCTCAACCGCCTCGACTTTCATTTCCAAATATTTTCTTATTTCTAACTCTACGTTATTTTGTACATTAGAAGGCGATGGTCCCATAAATTCCAACATTCTTTGACGACTAGCTGATATTTTCTGCAAGTAAAATATACGTCAGTTAAGTTTACCTTTACATTTATTAAAACATAATACCTGTTTTTTTGCATTTGGTTCAGTGCTCGTTGATGGCTCATTTAATAATGTGTCATCGATTTCCTTTAATTTTTCAATTTCTTCCATAATCAAGTTCTCCTTGGAAATTGGAGACAGAACATCATGCACAAGTTCCAAGGAGTTTGGCGATTGTTTGGGTATCTGTAGTATATATTTATCTAAAACAGGCCAGTTTTTTTGGCATGGGTCCATAAGCGCAGCTACAACATACATTCTATATACTTTGAATCGCTTCGTGAAGTTTTGCACAGCGAAATTGCATAAATTGATTGTTAGTTCAAAAGACGCTTTTTCTTCTTCTTTCTTCAATGAGGACATAATGGATTCCTGAAAATAAATACACGAAGATATCGTCGGATAATCTTGGCCTTGAAGGTGTTTTGTGGCGTCCTCAAAAAATTTTAAAAACGTGCCAAATTCCGTTATAATTTGCTTTTCCATTGTCCCAATCACTAACAGTTCCTTTTTAGCTTTAACTAATGCTACATTTATAGTGGATATATTATTCGTATAGCTTTGAATCATTGCAAGCAGAGAGTTCCAACGTGTTGCAACGGAATTTTCAAAGAGGTGTGGTGCTTGACGTTTAAAGTTGCTTCATATTGTTCAGTAAAATAGTCATCTCCATGTGGAAATTGTTCGCAACTATCCAAACTCTCCAAAATTATTTCAACCTCTGTAAATATTTTTTCTAAATCGTTTTGTTCCTCCATATTTTGAATATTTGATATTTCTTCATAGCTATACATTAAGCTGCCATAATTTTTTTTTAATTTTGATATTATGTTATTAATATTTTCAAATGACTTGTTGTTTAGTATATCTTCCATCAAAAATCTGTGTAAAACATGAGCCTTACAACCATATCTTGGTATATTTTTAATTTTTAAAGCTGAAACGATGTTGCTTCCACCATCAGTAACAGCACATATGTTTTTTTCCAACAGATTAAATTCACATAAAGCTTCTTCAATTTTTTCTACAACTGCTAGTCCAGTGTGAGGTCGTGGAAAGATCTCTGTCTTGAGCGTTACAATTTGCATTTGAAAATTTTGGCAGAAATGCACTTTTATGTTTATGTAAGACAAGTGCTTATGTTTATCTGACCACATATCCAATACAAGTGTAACATTTTTGGGCGACTCTTTAAGGCTTGTTTTTACGTGGTCCAAATATATGTTATAAACATCGTTTAAAGCCGTCGTAGCTATTGTCCTATCTGTGGGGAATATAGCCTTTGGGTTTAAGAAAGATACCAATTTCTTAAATCCTGGCCTTTCAACAATTTTAAACGGTTGCAAATCCCAACAGCACATTTCGGCGACCCGGCGAGCATTTTGTTGTTTGTTGTTACAACTTGTTGAGGATTTCAATGCATTTTGTGTCATTGTTGAACTTTTCAGGTTATTTAAAGATTTCACGTCCAAGTTATGTACAGCTCGTAGATGGTTCATATAATTTGTGGTTGATGTTGATTTTCCAAAACTAAAATCATAAACATTTACACACATGCGAATGGAAAAAATTAGAAATTCTTACCTTTTTAAATTGGTCTTTTCATCCAAACACAATTTGCAAAATTTATATTTTTGAAGAATATGCCTCTTTTTAAAATAGAGATCACCAAAATATTTCCAACACATTGATATACCACCTTCATTTACAACAACCTTTGCCAAATTTTTAAATTCATTTTTCTTTTTAAAAAGATCTTCATATTGAGATACATCTGCATATGGAGAAATATTGATTTCAGTATCAACAGATTCGTCAGAATCGGATTCTGATTTAGTCAAAACTGTTTGACCCTTTCAGTTAGCGGAAAAATAATTTTTAATATTCCTTTGGCACATTTTGCATTCTTTTCTTTGAACAAGCAAAAACACAACGAATCTTTGGCAAAAAATATGGTTGCCACTCCATAAAAAATTCGTAAGTTACAAAAGGTTGCCAAAGGTTTTGTGATAAAAAAACAAATCTACAAAGTCATAATACCCTTACCACTATGTGGTGTAGGGTATAATTAATATAAATAGCCTACACGTTTTAGCCTCTCGAAGACGAGCGCACAATGTAAATTATCGTCCAATAATGAGCATTATAATATGTTAATTTATCGATAAGATTAAAAGACATATTTATACAAATTTGCTGTATAAATTTATATTTTTCAACGGCTTAGCCGACTCAGTCGGCTAAAAATTTGAGCCGATGAGAGCCGCATACATCAGCGGCGGCTCAGATCACTTAAAAAAAGTCGGCGGCGGCTGCACGCCGACTGCGAGCCGATCGGCTTCGTGCTCTGCTCACACATCTTCCCAAGTAGTTGTGTGAATTTTTTGCAAGTTCATTAATGAGTGTGTGTGTTTGAATCATTGACGTTGTTGTTGTTTTTGTTAAATAAACTGAACGCACAGTTATTTTTGTGATTTTTTGCTGTTGATTATTTTTGTTAAAAAGTGAAATTCTTCTTTTGCTTTTATTCTGTTTGGCTGGCATTTAGTGGTTGTTTGTTAAGTCTTACACAAAATTAAGGCACAACAACACACTTACAGATAGACATACAGACAGACAAACATAAAATAATAATAAACGGTGGCCACGAAATTAGGTCTCGGCTACTTACTATGCAACATGTGACAGAGCGTATGGACAGACAGACGGACGAGTCAAACGCAATATTTTATGCGAGACAACATCAAACTAGAAGGCTTAACAACAACAACAAAAATTCACAACAACAACATTTTAAACGTTTTTTTATTTCGTTGCTTTGGAGGCCTATTTTTGGTCTGGCTTTGATTTTGGCCTATAACAGTTCTACCCAACCAACCAGCCAGCCAGCCAACCTGTTCCACGGTCAAGTATGTCAAGCCAAGTAAACGAAACATGTAACTCTTTATTTTCTTTCCCCGTCTTTCTTTCATGTTTTATGCATTTCCAACATTGAAACCAATTTAGAACTTAAACAAGTCTATTCAAAATGCCAATGCATGCCGCCGCCATGCCTGCGGACTGTCAAGCAGAGAACGTGTTGTGTTTCGTTCATGTTTTTTTTTGGGCAGAAGGCATACGGAATGGCCACAGAGCACATGAAGACCTAAAAAATTGGTGTCATCATGATTTATGCTTACGCACAAGAGCGACCGATCGACCGGCCACCACTACAACCTGTTCCAACCATCCATTCAGCCGGACTTTGGAAAAACAGAAGACGTACGCATGTGCTACGCATTTCTTTTAATGGCAAGTGTTTGGAGCTGGGCTACTTTATATTTTTAACAAGGAACGTTACTCTGTCGCATAGATTGAATTCTGATTTGGACAACAAAAAATTGACCTATTTTCGAGAGGGAGAAAGAGAGAAACACGAGGATGACCAAAACAAACGATGTCAGGCAATCAGGGGTACCAGAAAAAAGTACTTTTTATTTACAAAATAGAACAAATCAGGTCAACAGAAGAGACCCTTCAGGTCATCTGCTGTTCGGAAGAGGACCCACCTTTATTGAAAAATTTAAAATGGTCATCATAACTCCTTAAATATTGAGTTTACAGCGTTTTTAGCTATTATTTGTTATCACTTTTATAGGCATGAATTATTGAGAATTTTAAAATGGCCATAACTCCTTAAATATTGAGGTTACAGCGATTTTAGCTATTATTTGTGATCACTTTTTTGAGCATGAATAATTGAGAATTTTAAAATGGCCATAACTCCTTAAATATTGAGTTTACAGCGATTTTAGCTATTATTTGTGATCACTTTTATAGGCATGAATTATTGAGAATTTTAAAATGGCCATAACTCCTTAAATATTGAGTTTACAGCGTTTTTAGCTATTATTTGTGATCACTTTTATAGGCATGAATTATTGAGAATTTTAAAATGGCCATAACTCCTTAAATATTGAGTTTACAGCGATTTTAGCTATTATTTGTGATCACTTTTATAGGCATGAATTATTGAGAATTTTAAAATGGCCATAACTCCTTAAATATTGAGTTTACAGCGTTTTTAGCTATTATTTGTGATCACTTTTATAGGCATGAATTATTGAGAATTTTAAAATGGCCATAACTCCTTAAATATTGAGTTTACAGCGATTTTAGCTATTATTTGTGATCACTTTTATAGGCATGAATTATTGAGAATTTTAAAATGGCCATAACTCCTTAAATATTAAGTTTACAGCGTTTTAGCTATTATTTGTGATCACTTTTTGAGCTTGAATTATTGAGAATTTTAAAATGGCCATAACTCCTTAAATATTGAGTTTACAGCGATTTTAGCTATTATTTGTGATCACTTTTTGAAGCATGAATTATTGAGAATTTTAAAATGGCCATAACTCCTTAAATATTAAGTTTACAGCGTTTTTAGCTATTATTTGTGATCACTTTTATAGGCATGAATTATTGAGAATTTTAAAATGGCCATAACTCCTTAAATATTGAGTTTACAGCGATTTTAGCTATTATTTGTGATCACTTTTATAGGCATGAATTATTGAGAATTTTAAAATGGCCATAACTCCTTAAATATTGAGTTTACAGCGTTTTTAGCTATTATTTGTGATCACTTTTATAGGCATGAATTATTGAGAATTTTAAAATGGCCATAACTCCTTAAATATTGAGTTTACAGCGATTTTAGCTATTATTTGTGATCACTTTTATAGGCATGAATTATTGAGAATTTTAAAATGGCCATAACTCCTTAAATATTAAGTTTACAGCGTTTTTAGCTATTATTTGTGATCACTTTTTTGAGCTTGAATTATTGAGAATTTTAAAATGGCCATAACTCCTTAAATATTGAGTTTACAGCGATTTTAGCTATTATTTGTGATCACTTTTTTAAGCATGAATTATTGAGAATTTTAAAATGGCCATAACTCCTTAAATATTAAGTTTACAGCGTTTTTAGCTATTATTTGTGATCACTTTTATAGGCATGAATTATTGAGAATTTTAAAATGGCCATAACTCCTTAAATATTGAGTTTACAGCGATTTTAGCTATTATTTGTGATCACTTTTATAGGCATGAATTATTGAGAATTTTAAAATGGCCATAACTCCTTAAATATTGAGTTTACAGCGTTTTTAGCTATTATTTGTGATCACTTTTATAGGCATGAATTATTGAGAATTTTAAAATGGCCATAACTCCTTAAATATTGAGTTTACAGCGATTTTAGCTATTATTTGTGATCACTTTTTGAAGCATGAATTATTGAGAATTTTAAAATGGCCATAACTCCTTAAATATTAAGTTTACAGCGTTTTTAGCTATTATTTGTGATCACTTTTATAGGCATGAATTATTGAGAATTTTAAAATGGCCATAACTCCTTAAATATTGAGTTTACAGCGATTTTAGCTATTATTTGTGATCACTTTTTGAAGCATGAATTATTGAGAATTTTAAAATGGCCATAACTCCTTAAATATTAAGTTTACAGCGTTTTAGCTATTATTTGTGATCACTTTTATAGGCATGAATTATTGAGAATTTTAAAATGGCCATAACTCCTTAAATATTGAGTTTACAGCGTTTTAGCTATTATTTGTGATCACTTTTATAGGCATGAATTATTGAGAATTTTAAAATGGCCATAACTCCTTAAATATTGAGTTTACAGCGATTTCAGCTATTATTTGTGATCACTTTTTGAAGCATGAATTATTGAGAATTTTAAAATGGCCATAACTCCTTAAATATTAAGTTTACAGCGTTTTTAGCTATTATTTGTGATCACTTTTATAGGCATGAATTATTGAGAATTTTAAAATGGCCATAACTCCTTAAATATTGAGTTTACAGCGATTTTAGCTATTATTTGTGATCACTTTTATAGGCATGAATTATTGAGAATTTTAAAATGGCCATAACTCCTTAAATATTGAGTTTACAGCGTTTTAGCTATTATTTGTGATCACTTTTATAGGCATGAATTATTGAGAATTTTAAAATGGCCATAACTCCTTAAATATTGAGTTTACAGCGATTTTAGCTATTATTTGTGATCACTTTTTGAAGCATGAATTATTGAGAATTTTAAAATGGCCATAACTCCTTAAATATTAAGTTTACAGCGTTTTTAGCTATTATTTGTGATCACTTTTATAGGCATGAATTATTGAGAATTTTAAAATGGCCATAACTCCTTAAATATTGAGTTTACAGCGATTTTAGCTATTATTTGTGATCACTTTTGAAGCATGAATTATTGAGAATTTTAAAATGGCCATAACTCCTTAAATATTAAGTTTACAGCGTTTTTAGCTTTTATTTGTGATCACTTTTATAGGCATGAATTATTGAGAATTTTAAAATGGCCATAACTCCTTAAATATTGAGTTTACAGCGTTTTTAGCTTTTATTTGTGATCACTTTTATAGGCATGAATTATTGAGAATTTTAAAATGGCCATAACTCCTTAAATATTGAGTTTACAGCGATTTTAGCTATTATTTGTGATCACTTTTGAAGCATGAATTATTGAGAATTTTAAAATGGCCATAACTCCTTAAATATTAAGTTTACAGCGTTTTTAGCTATTATTTGTGATCACTTTTATAGGCATGAATTATTGAGAATTTTAAAATGGCCATAACTCCTTAAATATTGAGTTTACAGCGATTTTAGCTATTATTTGTGATCACTTTTATAGGCATGAATTATTGAGAATTTTAAAATGGCCATAACTCCTTAAATATTGAGTTTACAGCGTTTTTAGCTATTATTTGTGATCACTTTTATAGGCATGAATTATTGAGAATTTTAAAATGGCCATAACT